TTTGCTATTTTGTAAAAGGTTGTCTGTCTGTTAATGTTTTCCTCCTTCTATTTTTAAAATAAAAAAATTAAAAATTAAAAAAATTTTTAAAAAAACTCCGGGTGTATGCAGTCACGAGGGTCCCACAGTGTGGAGAGATTTTCCTGTAGGACAGAGGCCCACGCCACCCAGCAAGAAGCAAACAGGAGGCGAGCAAGTGAACCTTTATCAGAGCGGGGGAGGGAGGGAGGAAGGGAGGGATGTAAAAGAAAATACCAAGAGTCCTACTTACATTACAGGTTCATTGCAACAGGTGATACACATTCTCCAAGCCTGCCTTGTATAATGTGTGGTAACCAGATACCCAACAAGGCCATAAAACTTTCAAAACTGTTTTGTCACATGAAGACCAAGCACCGTACATTAAAATACAACCATTTGGAGCTGTGCAAAAGAAAAAAATGTGAACACAAAAAACAGAAGCAATTATTGAAACTTATCACTTCATCAAACGTCTCTGCACTAAGAGCATTATTCTTAGTGGCTGTGTTGCTAAGTTAAGCCTTTTACTCTGGGTGAAAGTGGATCCTACCTGCTGCTAAGGATATTTGTCGTGAACATTTAGGAGAGGCTGCAGTTCAAGAGGTGGCACATGTTTCTCTTTTTACTAGTACTATAACTAGATGAACTGAAACAGCAAAAGATACTGAGCAACAACTGTTAGAATTAATGAATCATTACGGTATACAACCCAAGTTGAGTCTACCAATGTTGACAATGAGGCAACAATACTTGTTTTTGTGCAGACTAGTTTTCAGGACACACGCGAGGATAAATTATGTGTACTTTTGTTGCCAAACAACACCACAGCTGCAAAACTATTCAAGTCTCCAAATGATTACGTATCAGGAAAACAGAACTGGTCTTTTGTGTTGGTACATGCATAGACGGAGTGGTTGCTAGGACTGGACAGCTTTTTTTATTTCATCACTTAGACCAAAGAGATTGCTTCTGAATGTGAGTCTACACACTGTGTCAACCATCGAGAATACTGGCCAGTTAAAAAATGCCACCTTAATTTAAATCATATCCTATAAACTGTGAAGTTATCAACTACATTAAAGTACATGCCCTTAACTCACATCTGTTGGCATAGATCTGGGATGGATGTAAAGTACACGTCTTCTCTTGTACATGAAGTAAGACAGCTTTCTAAAGAAAGACCACTAGCCAGGATTTCTTCAGTTATAAGAACTGCTCCATGCCTGGCAAGCGCAAGGTCGTGAGTTCGGTTCCCGGTACCGGAGAAAAACAAAAAAACCAAAAAAAAAAAAAAAGAACTGTTCCAGAAATTTCTGTTACAAAAACAGTCACCACTGGCAGCACATTTCAGTGACTCAGAATGAGTCCCCAAACTCACTTTCTCATGCGACATATTCAACCTGTTCAACAAATTCAATCTTTCACTTTAAGTGGGAGCAGTGATTGTGTTCAAGTTGACGGATAAAGTGGATGCATTCAAAGTCAAATTGGAATTATGGGAATGATGACTGAACAATGATATTTTTGACATGTTTCACACATTAGCAGAAATTTTGAAAGGGACTGAGCCAGGGCCTTCTTTCTCCCAGCTGGTGCACGAACCCTATCTCAGCTTTTAAAAGAGTGTGAGCATTATTTTCCAACCACAAAAGGCCCACAAACTGGAAAGGAACAGATCCACAGCCCAATTGTGAATAATACAGGTGAGCTGACTTTGTCTGTGCTAAAAGAGGATCAATTTCTAGAGATTAAAAATGATGCTGGACTTAAAAGTATGTTAGAGGCAGACACGGTGGCACACTTCAATAATCCCAGCACTTGGGAGGCTGAGGCAGGAAGACTGACATAAATGAGTCCAGACTGAAATTATATAGTGAGACTCGGTTTCAAACAAACAAATAAAAAATATATTTGAGGCCACTGCAAATTTCCATACATTCTGGATTAAAGTCAAGGTGGAATAGCCTAAGATTGCCACAAAAGCACTGAAAAGCCATCTCCCACTTCCAATACACTATCCTACCTTTGTTTTTTGGTTTTTCTCTGGTACCGGGAACTGAACTCACGACCTTGCACTTGCCAGGCAGGCGCTTTTGCCGCTGAGCTAAATCCCCAGCCCCTATCCTACCTTTGTGAAGCAGGGTTTTCTGCATAGACAGCAACCAAAATGAGGTTATATAAGCAACATATTGTCTCCCATCACCTTTAGATGGGGTCATCCAGTTGCAAGAAAACACGCTCAGGGCTCCCACTGATTCTGCAGTACGGTGAGTTGTATAATTAGTTCATTATATATTACAGTGTAATAATACAAATAATATGTGCAATAAATGTGATGCACTTGAATCATGCCAAAACCACCCTCCCCCCATCAGTGGAAAATTGTCTTCCACAAAACTGGCCCCTGGTGCTTAGAAGATTTGGGACCAAACCAGTTCTTCAAAGAAGATATCAGAAAAATTCCCTAGTGTCTCCAACCAAGGGAAGGAAACATTCCCTTCTGAAATATTCCCAGAGCATTCTTTTCTTCCCAACAAAGCCTGTGTTCAGGAGAAAGTAGTTAATCAGATCTTAACCCACATGAGGAAAGGGAAACATAAACTCTAGTCAGTTCCAGCCTTCCACACGGCAGAAGAGAAATACCCACATAGTACAGACTAGTCATCTGTCCCACGTAAGGAGAAAAATATTTAAAACATTTATGAAGTTCTTAGCCCAGTGACACAATCTCACTAAGAAAATGAGAATTATAGAACTAGAGAACCTATACCTTACTACCCATGATTAAAGGCCTATTTATAGCACATTCTTTTTTTCACCTGGTATATCACATGTGACCATCAGCAATTAACAAAAGTAGAATTTGAAAAGAATTTAAAATACAGTATCACTTATATTAGCACCCCTTCCCAAAATTAAATATTTAGGTATAAATCTAACAAAATATATATAAAATCCAAGTGAGGGAAACTATAACTTCTGTGGAAACATATTTTAAAAGAACTAAATAAATGGATAAATATTCCATGTTCATAGAGAGAAAGATGATACTGTCAAGATCTCAGTTCTTCAATGAGTCTTTGGTTGCTCAGTATTGCATTTCTATATCTGTTTTCAGGAGAAGCCACTTTGAAGATATCAATATGATTCTGAAAGATTGAAAGGAACGAAAGACCCATAAAACAACCAATATAATATTGAAAAAAAACAAAGATGGAAGACTGAATTATCCAACCTTAACACTCATTAGAAAACTACCCAGTGTGTGATACTGGTAAAGCATAAGCAAACTGATCAATGGAAAAGAATATGTAACTAAAAATATACTCATGTAAATATAGTCAAGGAACACAGACAGAACAAAGGTAATACAATGGAGTAAAAATTTTTTCAATAAAATGATCTTGGCACACCTGGACACCCCTATGTAAAAAAATAAATAAATAAAAATTCTAAACAGACCTTAAATCCTTCACAAAAATTAACACAAAATGGATCCTAAACCTAAATGTAACACAAAAATATAGAACTTCTAGAGTTTTATGGGAGAAAACCTCCATGACTTTGTTATGGCAACAACTTTTGATATAACATCAAAGGTATGGTCTATGAAAAAACTATCAGCAGAACTTCATTAAAATTAAAAATCACTGCTCTATAAATGACACTGCCATGAGAATGAGAAGACAAGCTACATGCTACTAGAAAATACTTGCAAAAGTCACACCTCATAAAGGACTGTTATCCAAACCGTACTAAGAACTCTTAAACTGGGCATGGTGGCACACACCTGTAATCTTAGCACTTGGGAAGCTGAGGCAGGGTGAGTGCCACAAATTCAAGGCCAGCTTGAACTACATAGCAAGACCCCCCATCTCAAAAACCAAAAACAAAAAAGAAAAGAACTCTTAAAACTCAACAACAAGAAAATGAACAACGTGATTTTTTGTGTGTGTTTTTGAGACAGGGTCTCACTTTGTAGTTCAGGCTGATGACTTCAGGCTCACTATGTAGGCCAGGTGGCCTTGAACTCACGATGACCCTCTTGCCTCATCCTCCTGAGTGCTAAGATTACAGGAGTGTGCCATGATGTCTGGCAACCATCTGATTTTAAAATGGGCCAAACACTTTAACAAACACCTGGCCAAGGAAGACACAAAGATGAAGATAAACAAGTGAGCATATGAAAAGAAGCTCCATAGCATATGTCATCAGGCAATTGCAAATTAAAACAAGATACTAGCACACACCTATTAGAAAGCGCAACATCCTGCCTCTAGTAAGGACAGGGAGCAACAGGAACTCTCATTCAATGCTGCTGAGAATGTAAAATGATACAACTCTGGGAGAAAGTTTGGTGGTTTGCTCCAAAACGAAACATACTTTTACCATGTATGTGATCCAGCAATTACATTCCTTAGTATCTATTCAAAGGTGTTGCAAACTTATACCTACACCCCAAAAAATCTGCACAGGGATGTTTCCAGAAGCTTTATTCAAAACCATGAAAACTCAGAAATAACCAAGATGTCCTTCAGTAGATTAATGGATCAACTGTAGTACATCTAGACAATGGAATATTATTCAGCACTAAAGTGCTACCACTGGGCACCATGACTCACACCTGTAACCCTAGCTACTCAGGAGGCTCAGGCAGGAGGACTGCGAGTTCAAGGCCAGCCTGGGTAACTTAGTGGTAGAATACTTGCCTAGCACACATGAACCGTGGGTTCAATCTGCAGTACAGAAAAGTGAATGAAAAAGGAGGGGGATAAAGAGGATGAAGGAGAAGAGGAAGAAAGGAGGAGGAAGAAGACAAGGAGGAAGAGGAGGAAGAGGCTAAATAGAAAGAAGGAGGAGGAGAAAGAGGCAGAAAAGGAAGGAGTGACAGGGAAAGGGGGAATGAGACGGAGAAGAAGGGGAGGGGAGGGAAGGGGAGAGGAGGGGACAGGGGAGAGGAGGGGACAGAAGGAGAGGGAGAGGGAGATGGGGAATAGGAGGAGGAAGAGGGAGCGCAGGGGAGCAGGGGGAGGAGGAGCAGGGAAAAAAGGAGGAAAGGGGGTTGGGGAGAAGGGAGGGGGACTGAGCGCCCAAGCCATAACAAGACACGGAAGAACCCTAAATGCACATTATTAGCTGAGAGAAGCCAATCTGAAAAGGCTGCACACTGTACACCTCCAAGCACATGGCATTCCAGGAAAGGCAAAGCTGTGCAGACAATAAACGTATCACTCAAGCAAGGGATGGTAACAAGAGGCTGCGCATGCCTGGAAGGCAAGGAGAACCCGGGAAGTCTCTATCTTCCTCTTTATTTTGCTGTGAACCTAAATTTCCTGCAAGAATTGAAGTCTCTTAAAAAAAAAAAAAAAAGTTTAATTTTTGAAAACATGACTGGGACCTAATTCTTAACACTCTCCATTCCAGCTGTTTGTTCTCATGCCTTTTGGAATGCGTGTCACAGCAGCCACAAAATCATACATCACAAAATGCTATTTTAATACTTGTTGCCCGGCAGAAATTAAACTTCACTTACAAAGTTTCAGAGTTTTGATAAAATGATTCCTGCAAGGTAATGTTTCAGTGATTCCACATGCAGATTACTAACATATCTGATTGTTTCAGTTTCCAAATTGGAAATAATTTCTGCTCTACTTACACTTTTGCTTCTGTCATAGTTATGCCCATGGTAGAAGAGACTTGGTGTAAATAGTTCAGTAAGGTGTTGGCAGTCTGAACATCGTTCTCGTATGAAGTAACACCCAATAATGTAGGGACTTCACTGTAAATAAGGGTGTACTTCTTGATTCTCTGACCCAACCCCCTACCTGTGGCTCCATGCTAAACTGGAAAAGAATTCAAGACGTAAAAACCTTTATTTTTTAAAAACTCAGCATTATTCAAGGTCTTTTCCATTGTATATCTGTGGTATTTCCAATTGAAATCCTAAAAAATCTAATCCTAAATAATGACTGGATTCAGTATTTGAGACAGTGTTAGAAAAACAGGAATTCCATCGTAAGTGTTAAGAAGTTTTGAGAGTCTGTTAGACTGGGACAAGCCCATAGCTTTAGCTCCTAAGTAGGCAAAACAAAGCCCAAGGTAATAAAGTAAAACTAGGAACTGTATCAACCAGAAACCACCAACCAACTTCTAACTCGGGTCTTTGCAGCGTACCCAACTGGATATATTTTGTCTCACTTCCATGTCAGCTTATGAGAACTTGCTGCCCAGACTGCTGACGTGGAGCTCTCAGAACC